GCCAGGAAAGTTTGACAATGAAAGGATTCCATCATCACTCTCGCACACATTTCCTAATGCTTATTTTAATGCCTGAACATCTGGGAGAGATACACGCTCCGCTCCCAGAGCCATTTGCTTTGGCTGCGTGCAGGCATTTTGGAAAGGCGCTGTGCGGGGAAGCAGAGCCTGTGTGGGCCAAAGCTCTGTTGAAGTTGGAAGTGCGAGGAGAGAATTATTTTAAAAGTGCATGACAAGTAATTAACAGCTTCCTGAAAACTAGAACCAGTTGAAATTTTTTGCTGAAGTTTTTTTTTTCCCCCCCCCCTAAGAAAAATTGCTTTTTGACCAAATAATTTCTCTTTAATTCAAGTCTTATTTCTATTGACCATTCGGGAGGTTTTCTTAAAATAAAATAAAAAAATAAAAAATGGATACTGAGATATTTTTGGTTGCTGGGAAAAAAAAATAAATCTCACTCCTGAGTTTTCTGCTTTTATTGGAGATGATTGACAAGCCCAGAAAGAGAGAAGAGAAGAGAAGAGAAGAGAAGAGAAGAGAAGAGAAGAGAAGAGAAGAGAAGAGAAGAGAAGAGAAGAGAAGAGAAGAGAAGAGAAGAGAAGAGAAGAGAAGAGAAGAGAAGAGAAGAGAAGAGAAGAGAAGAGAAGAGAGAAGAGAAGAAGAAGAGAAGAGAAAGACCGCAATAAGAACTATCAGAAGCGAGACCCTAGAAAGCGATCGAGAGCAGATAAATAAGATCAGATCAGTAAATAAACAGAAGATACAGCGCTATCAGACCGCCTCGCCCGCCCCTCCACTCACCTCACGCCGCCAGCCCCTCCCCACCCTCCCCGCACCTAACCCGCCACTCGCACGACCCCCTCCCCTACCCGCCACACCAAAACGAAAAGAAAAAAGAAAAAAGAAAAAAGAAAAAGAAAGAAGAAAGAAGAAAAGAAGAAAAAAGAAAAAAGAAGAGTTGCAGAGGCTCCAGACAAGGAGAGCCAACAAGGTCTGCCCATGGCCGGGGGGACCGGGGACGTCTCCAGTGCCCATCTGTGCTGCTGGAGCCCCTGTGCACCCATCAGTGATGGGGAAGCAACTGCGTGGATGGTTCTATTCAATTCAATTATATTGGAAACAATTAGATTAGACTACACAGCTAATTAACGACAACCTTAGTGGCGAGAGCTTCATTAGGAGTGCCGTGTTATTGCTCCGGGCGGCAGCGGCGTCCTTCCCGCACCCTCCGATGTTTGTGCAGCTGGGGGAAATATTTTCGCCAGCGAACTCGTGCACTGGTGGCGGGCTCGAGGGACGGCGCTCCTCGATCCGGCTGTAATGATGCTAATATGCTGCTTTCTGGTAATTTTCTATTAATTGTTTGCACTCCCTGTGTGTCTTCAATCCATTAGTTACACTTTCCGGGATCGGAGCAGGCAATAAATCCTCCGGTCTGCCAAGGCTCCTGCGACGTCTTTCATACGATCATCCCCAAAGCTGATGTTTATAATGCAATTGAAGCAATCCATATCAGGCCTTGTCCCTCTGCTCTCCGCTCCGCCAAAGACAGCGAGAGCAGCGCTGCCGGATTCCCCCGGGGTTGTGCCTGTGGAGTGATGATAAGGGAATCGGATTTTAGTGGCGACACGAGAGGTGAAATCCGAAGATCCAGAATATTTAGTTATGTTTACCCACAGTAATCAGCTTCTCAAATAGATGTCACTGGGAAAGCTCTTGCTACATTGATTGCACTGTTCCCCGCTTTCTGCCCAGGGGCAAACAGCTCTGATTAATATTTCACAACACTTTCTTTTTTTTTTTTTTTCCCTTTTTTTTTTTTTTTTTTTTTGTGCTCGGAGAGCCTTGATAGAGAGACACAGAATATTTTACCATCTCTCATGTTTGCCTGCTCCAGTAATCATTGGATTCAATCACTCTTGCAATGTTTTTATGAATTAATAACAGGCACTTTGGAGGGCTAGCGGGGAGATGGGAAATGCAATCTGTACAACCTTAATGAGCACCGTGGGGACCCGGTGCCATGGTTTCCGAAATCCTCTCTGCGCTTCGCTCTAAATCATTGTCTCTAAAATTACCTGCTCGCAGTCCCTTGTAGCTGGCTCTCGTTCGGCGGGTGAGCACACCTGCCTCCCCGCCGTGCCCTCTCTTTCATTGCAACGGCTCATTTGGAAGCTGTCCCAATTAATTTTTTTTTTTTTCTTTCCGCTTTAATAAAAGCTCACCTTTGTCAGTGCTGACAAAATGTTTGTCTTCGCTGCCTCATTAGCGTTAGCTGTGACCCAGGCGCTCAGCACCGGAGCAGGTGGGAACGGATGGGTGCGGAGCAGGGCGGGGGAATTGGAGCTGGGAATGAAGCACTTCGGGCGTTTTGCTTCGTGAGTCACCGGGGAGGGTGGAAATGGGGAAGAGGGGGAGCTTGTCTCAGCTCACACTGCCTCTGCTGCTGTGAAATGCTGGGGGGAGCCAGGCAGGGCACAGCAGGGTGGATGCTCCCGGTCTCCCTGTGGTGCAGAGGGATGGAGCCCCGGCGCTCTGCTCGCCCCCTTGCAAGGAAGATGGGTGAAGGTGAGCCCAAAGAGAAGCTTCAGTCATTTCTGAATGGAGTGGAGTCTAGCTGCATGATGCTGGCGTTTCCCAGCCCAGGAGTTTCTGCAGATCGTGCTGTGGTCCCAGCTCTGCTTGAGGCACTCCTTCTTTTGCCACCCTTTGGGTACATCGGGTCACCATCTGCCCCCATACAGAGACCCCAGTGCTGCCTGGTGCATCTTCAACAGCATCTCCAGCACCCCCCAGCCACGGTGGGACATCTCCAGTGACCCCCTGAGCCCGTTGCCCTGTGCTGAAGGAGCAGGGATGTCCCCCAGCCACCAGTCCCAGCCCCTCGTCCTGCTCCTGGGCCGGGCGGCAGGAGCGCAGATGTGCCGAGCGCTCGGCGCGTCGGCTGTCAGCTCCCACGGGGTCTTTGAGGACGAGCATCCAGACAACCTTAATCCTAGACGTGCGGCTGCACTTTTAAAAGTTGTCTGAGTGGAAATTTGGCCACAGGCAGCACAATTGTGTTTCAGGCTTTAAAGCCAACTGGAGTCATTAAAACACATACTGCATTCCTCTGGAGGAAACAGAGCTGTTGATAGGGCATAATTTTACAGCGCAAGTGTTGGGTCTTAATCCAACGTTAGTTTTTGTACAAGTTCACGTCTGAGGAGTCCAGAAATATCAGCTGGAGAGATCCAAACTGTGAGTCCTTCGGTGGTTCCCGGCGTGAATTACGCCGGGGAAGCGGCCGTGCTCCGTGGGGAGCGTCGGGGACGTGGGCAGAGCTCGGTGCCGCTCGGTGGGGCTGCTGCCCTGTCTGATTGCCCCAAGCCAAAATTCTCCAAACCCAGGCTTGGGCACCGCATACCGGGGAGCACAGGTGCTCTTCAGATCTTTGGGAGCTGATTTTTCCTTGCTTGGATCACCAGTGAAGGGCTCGCCTGCGAGATGAGGCTCTGGTAAATGCTCATCAGGGCTTTGCTCGAGGTCTCCATCCAGGTGGGGTTGCACGGCTGGGGACTGGGGTGTCCCCCAAGCAGTGGGTCCATGCTGATGCTCATCCTAAATACAGCATTCCTGGTGCTGCTGGCTGCAATCCCATGCTTTTAGCTGAAGATTAAGTCAATGAAAAAAGCAATCAGCAAACCAAGCCCCAGAGAAGTGCCAAGCTGGGACCCCTCAGCTCCTCGCAGGCAGGCATTTCTCTGCCACCAGCTGGGTCTGGGGTCACCCTGCCCACTCCCCCTGCCCACAGAGCTGAGCTCCTCATGACTATCTGAGAACAAACGTGATGACATGGGATGACAAATGTACCCAGCCCATCTCTTCACGAGCCTGGTGATTTATTTCCAGCCCCCTCAAGAGCAAATTGCACTCGATCTGCTAGCGAGCCCAGAAAAGCTCTGACTTCAGGAACCTCTCAGTTTTCACCCCGCTCTATTTACTTTCTGCGTGTGTGTTTTTTAATTGCTTTTTAGAAGTCTGTTCTCAGCCTACAGCTATTTTGGAGATGTGGCACGGAGTTCTAGTCTGGGTGACTAACAAGTCATTTATAGAGACTTGGCCAGCTCCGCTCCAACATTTCTGCTGGCCAGACAGGCATTACCGCACGCAGACGTGTCGGGACACGTGCAGCAAGTGCACTGGAGCAACACCTACAGAGCTCTAATCGGCTTACAGCGGTGTGAACCCGGCGGCACAGGGGAACACGACCTGCTTCCCACACCAGCAGGCTGCGGGGCTGGCTGCGGCCGGGCGCTTGGGCTGCGGTGGCTGCTCGCAGCGATGCTGCGCTCGCGGGCTGAGGCTGGCCATGTATGGGCAAAGCCTGGGTGGCTCGCACAGATGCGCTGCCGATGAAGCTCATGGTGAAAGAATTTCCCCCAAAACAAGGCCCGACTGTTAACCTTCCCCATCCAAGCAACCAGCCGGGCCCGAGGCGGCCGCACTGATTTCCTGCGCTGATTTATTGCGCGTGCACCCGCGGCGCTGCCCGGCCCCAGGATGGCAGCCAGCTCCCCGCCAGGGGGGCACCGAGCTTGCTGGGTGCCCCCTGCCCAGGGACCGGGCAGGATTTGGCCTCGCAGCATCACCAGCAGCAGGGCTGCCAGCACCCCAGAGCCGTGCCGCCAGCCCCCCGCGCTGAGCATCCTTGTTCCTGCCTCACCTCTGTGCTGCCAGCTGATTTTTTTTTTTTTCTATTATTTTTTTTCCCCTTTTTGCTTGATGGTGTTGTTGTAAAAGCGCCTGAACAATAGCCTGCATTTATCCAGAGCGCGACAGCCTGCCAGCTGGCGGCGGATCAGCCTTCTCATCCACTTCCAGGGCTCTTAAAGACGACTGTCCCAGAAACTCGGGTGTGCGCTGCTCTGAGAAGTCCCTGCTCTCTTAAATGCCTGGGCACTGATACAATTAATGTTTAATGCAGCATTCTTGTTTCCTGGTTGCCATTCTCTGCAAAACAATGGGGTGTTTTGCCCATGAAATTACTGTTCTGATTAGGAGGAATATGTCTGTCATTAGACTTTCAAATGCGATCCTGTTGCAGCACAGCACTGGCAATCCGGCCCAGATGACTCTGGCGATATTTCTGTTCCTGAAGGAAACAGCAAGTGCAAATCGGGTAATTTTATACGCTGGCTGGGGAAGGGGGCTCACGCTGATGGATGCTGTTGGGTTTGCAGCAATAACAGCTGGGGCCAGGGCACGCAGGGGATCTGCCAGGACATGGCTCGGGCTGCGGTTGTGGCTCTGGCTCTGCAGACACACGTATGTGCAATGCTCCTCCTTCTAGCAGGGGGCCTGGGCTCAGCTGCCAGGGATGCCCTGCTGCAGGTGTGAGCCTGAAATTCCTCTGGAGCCGGCGCAGGCAGTGCCGCGCTCCCCCAAAACCCTGCCAGTGCTTGGCCTCCAAAATGCAGCGCCTTGTAATTGGGAGCAGATGCTGCAGGTTCCTGCAAGAGCAAAGGCACGGCAGAAATCCCCTTAGAGAGAGAGAAGCAGAGAGGATCAGAGGCACGGATCTCAGGGCTGGGGTGTTTGCCTGGCTGTGGCACGGGGTGCAAGCAGAGCACGGGGCACCCAGCTGTGGTATGGGGTGCACGACACCATACCCAGTCCTCCTGAGCGTGTTGGGTTGGAGCTCAGAGGCACAACGGGACCCCAAACTGTTTTGGGGTTCCTGCTCCATAACGGTGAATCCATCTGCGAGGGGAAGGTGCTGGGGGCAAGGAGCATCCACGGCTGCTGGGGGGCTCAGGGTGGCCTCTTGCTGCTGGTTTTCCTTGGGGAAGGGGCGCAGGATGAGGCCAGGAGCACAGGGATGCAGCACTGCCATGGGGGCTCTGCTGGGGCCAGGCACTGCTGCACTGCCCCACAAGAAGGGTCTCAGCCTGAGGTCATCCTGGAGGGTACTGGGTGCTGTGGGTGGATAAGGAGGTAGAAGGCACAGCAAAAAATCAACATCTCCAAGTCTGGTAGCTCTGCACAATGTGCCGGGGCACGGGATGCTGCTTGGCAGCCACAGGGGAGCTGTTTATTCCTGCCCATTTCCAACCAGATGAGAAAAGCACTTTGAGCACAGAGGGAGGACGGGGAGCTGGAGCTGGGAGCAAGGACAACCCCCTCCCCGCCCTGCTCCTGCCCCAGCCGGAGCCTCTCTCACCAATAAAACGTCTCTTCCTGCAGCCTGGAGAGTTTTTTCCGGAGTTCAGCTGATATAAATTCCCACTGGAGAGTTTGAGGCTGGCAATCAGCTTACTCATTCTCCGCTTATCATCACAAACCTCTGACCTTCAAACATCGCTGGTGCGGTGCCCGGCTGAGCAAACTCAAATCGAACCAGCTGGTGATTCACCGCGCTCCCGTGTCGCGACACGCGGCCTCTGCTCGCTCCCTGCAGGTTCCCGACCTCGTCCCACGTCTGGTGCTTGTCCCACACCAGTGGTGCTGGGCCCTGGGTGGTGCTGGAGCACGGTCGGGGTTCCCACATGGTTATAGGTGATAGGGCAGGGATGCAGCACGGGCAAGGATGCTGAGCTGGTTGGGGTCCCCCAGGTGTCCCCAGCCTGTGCCTGACATCTCCGGGGACATCTCTCCCTCTGCAGGAGAACCAGGGTTGGGTTTTGATGAGACCGATGCCTTTTCCAGGCAGCATTTTCTGCTCCCCCTGGCCCGTCGGATGCTGGCGACTGACTTTTTGCTCACTTTTTCCTAGAAAGAGCCATCCTCACGGCCTCTTCCAAAGGCAACCCGTGCGTGCCAAAGCCACCTCCGCTGCCCGGAGCCCTTGGTGCTCGGAGCAGGGATGCTGAGCCCGCAGGGGGATGAAACAGGGGGGCTGCAAGGCTGGAGGGGGGGCGCAGCCACTCCTGCAGGAGGGCCGTGGGAGGCAACTGGTGTGCCAGCAGGCGCGGAGGAATGCGGCAGCAGGGCGGGGGGAGGACAGAAATTAATAATTATCCAAAGCGCACCCCTATCACTGTTCATCGAAATTTGCCCATACTTCATTCCAGCCTCCTTTCTTCTTCTTGCCTCCAGTAAGTACTTTAACATCCTTTTTAAAAATTAAAGGGGGAGGGTTATGGAACAGATAAGAGATAATTGCCTAGCTTTGACTCTTCTATTGATGTGAAAATAGGATTGGAATTACTCACTCTGGTTGAAAGGTTAGTTGAAGGTTATTACAGGAAAATTGTTATTCATACATTTTTTCTGTGCTGCTGGATAGCCTAAAAGATTAAATTCACAGAGTGCATAATGACCCATCACAACGGACAATGGTGGGAATAATCTCCAGAGACTCCAGATAACAGAACAGAGACTTCTTTGAATAATTCATGGTTCAACAGACATCCCTCACTAACAGATTACATGCGAGTTTTCATTAGAAAGGAGATAATTTAAAGTAGCTTTAAAAATAACCGGTATTTTTAACGGAAGTGGAATTACCATAAGCATTTATGCAGTTTGTTTATGCTTTAATAAATCTACTTTCCTCCTGACCTTCATGCCATGGGAACAAAACGCGAGGGGATAAAGAAAGTCATTGTTTGTGACAATCCCGCTCTCGTCCGCGCAGGGCTGACGGAGCATCGGTTTCAGATTCTGCCTCACACTTGGCTGCCTCCAGCACACGGTGAGCACAAATCCTGGGGCCGAGGCAGTGCAGGGGACAGGTCGGGGTGCTGCAGGATCCAGGTTTCTGCCCCAAATTCCTTCTGCAGGGGTATGGGACGCCCGCAGCCCCCCTCGGACCTGGGTACGGGGTGGCAGGAGGAGGGCGCGATGCCGTTCCCCAGCCCCTCAATTCTCCCCGAAACCATGCACCAGCTCGGGCTAATCTTTTAATTTCATCTCGTGGAGTAGCTGCTATGCCTTGAGAGCTGATTGTTTGGTAAAAGCAAGTGTTTACGAAGGTTTAGCAGCGGCGCGATACGCATCTGTAGCATTGTTCTGCGCGGCAACAAATGTATCTCAGACAATTAATTGATATTTAGTAAACATGTAAGAGTTATCTCCTCCCATCTAAATTAAATCCTAATTAAAGTTATACAATGCGCTGCTGCAGGCTGCACTGATTGCAACTTTCCTGGCAGCGGGGACGAGGGGAGCGCAGTCACCGCAGGGCGCTGAGCTGGGCACCCCCGGCCAGGGGCACGGAGCTTTCTTCCTCTTCCTCTTCCTCAATTTTGGGCAGTTTTGCAGGGAAGGACCAGGGGTGATGCTCTGCTGGCAGTCCCGGCGTGCAGCGCAGCAAGAGGCCGGCAAGAGCATGCTGGAAGCTGTAGTCCAGGTGCCCCGGCATCGCCAGCGCCGCACTGAGCTGCTCACAGCCCTCCTGCTCCTCCTCCTCCTCCTCCTTCCTCACAAACACCGCCTCTGCTTGCTAATCCCTCCCAGGCTTTGCAGCCTTCGAGTGACAAAATGCAAATGGTGGGGGAGCAGAGGCAGCAATTGCACAGCGAGGAGAGATAAAGCAAATATCCGAACACCGAGCCGCCTTCAGCGCAGCTCGCTGGCGCCTGAGCGTTCCTCCAGGAGCGCCTCAGCTCGGAAAATGTTTGTCGTCTCCCATCAGGTGAATCCGTGGGCACGGTGTGGAGTAAATGTTAATTAAACTAGCACGGAGCTGCTTAGCAGTGGGCCATCCCAGGCAATCCCTTCTGCTGTCGACAGAGCTTGGTGAGAGCGTGCGAGGGAAGACTTTGACCCCGAGCAACTGCTGCAAAGGAAGCAGAAGCAATTTTGCTGCCATCAGTGGCATTTCCCTGGATTTCTTCTGGCCTTGCCAAAAGCAGAATGTGTTGTCGAGCCTGCAGGAAACGAAGTTTTCTTTATTTTGCAGGAGACGCTCTGCTCTAATTGCTGTCTTCCCGTGCCCGAGCAGCCGGCACCGCTCACCCCCAGCGGGGCCGGGGCTGGCCGAGGGACACCGCTGCTCCTGGGTCCTGCACTGAGGTGCTGGGGTTTTCCTTCTCTGGTGAGCAAAGGAAACCCTGGCAAAGTGATAAGAGCATCAGTGATGAAGTGTTAAACCATGAGTGATTCCTCGGGTCCTGTCCCAGCGAAGGATGCACCTGAAAAGGATTCATCCCCCCGGGGGAAGCAGCAGCTCCAAGGATCTTCCTCTCACCCACCCCTCTGGGTGTAAGGACTTGTTATAAATAATACTCGAGCCTAAAGGAGGTGAATGAGGACTTTTATGGATTTAACACGAAACTCTAACATCTTTTTCCACTAAAGCTTCTGTCAATAAATCATTTTTTAATTATCAGCTTAAATTATCAGCTAAGCACGTCTAAATGATCTCTGGAGTGATTTCTGATGTAAGACGTTCAGAGCACCATTAAAGAGGTCTCAGAAGAAAGTTGTTCCCCTTCCTTTTAAAATGTTTCCCCCCCTTTTTTTTTGCACCTCCCAGAAAACCTAACCTCTCAATGCGTGCCTGCCAGGTGGGGTGTGAAGGAAACGGGGCTCTAACAGCACAACATCCCTCCCCAAATCATCCCTCCCCAAATCAGGGTCTGTGCCAACCCGCATCCAAACGTGATGGCTCCAACACCTACCAGCAGCAGCGGGTTTGATTTAGTGCTGCCTCCTGCCACTTAGATCGTGCACCATCATTTGTCTCAATACCATTTAGCCATGCCCACCAGCTCCTGGGTGGGTGCCCTATAAATTGTTTGCAGGGTGCCTTTGGGGAGGCTGGGGGCAGGGATCTGTCCCCCTGCTCACACACACACACACTGCGGCTGCCTGCAGAGGTGGCCCTGACCACCTACCTCCGTGGTTCTGCCTCTTGTGAGATGCTTTTTTATCCATCTGATATTTTTAACAAGAACTCTGGAGGGACGAGGATGTCTCATTGACCCGACGGGACGAGGCGGGCCCCTTGCTGCAGGGTGCAGGCAGGGCAGGGGCCCTTTGCTCCACAGATAGCTCTCTGGTGGCTCAGAATCAATTCAGGAATGATTTTCTCCTTCACAGGAGGAGATTTACAGCAGTTTCTCGTGTTTCCCATCTTGCCCTAATTAATGCAATTAATCAGGGCTGTTGCCCCAGGCGAGGAGCTGGGAGCTGCGCGGGCTCAGCCCCAGGAGCTGGATTTGTGCCGCGGCGGGGGCTGCGCCACGGGGCAGGGTGGAAAGAACCCAGAGCATTTTCTGCTGCCTTTTCTTTCCCCTGCAAGTGCCTGACCCGTGAATTGTTGTGTGAGACCCCGTGCAGACCAGCACGCTGCTCCTTCTGCGAAGGAGTAGCAAATCTCCCGGTGCTTTAAGAGGTCTGGAGATGTTCAGATGAGAACGTTATTGGTATTCGATGGCAATCCTCCTCGGCTCCTCTTATCCTCCCAACTAGTCTCTGATTTCTCACTTTCTTTTCCTCTGCCCCGATTAATCTTATTTCACGGGTTCCATGACAACACGAGCATCCGAGGAGCTCGCTCTCCAAACCGTTATTGAATTATGTGCGGGGAGCTCGGGCTCGCTCAGCCCCCGAACCACATTAACCTGATTATGCTATGAAGGTCGAACACAAGAATTAACCAGAGTGTTAGAAGCACATCATTTTGCACCAGAGTGCAGGGGCTCATTACAGCACGATACCACCACGGGCTCTCCGGGCTGCCCTAGGAAGAAGGACACAAAGTGCTCCTTGCACCAGGAAAGCGCAGGAGCGCCGTGACCATTTGCTGCCTGGAGCCCCTGGGGGTCTCTGCAGGCTCACAGCCCCCCCAGCATGGACACTGCGCTAAAGTGCCCGTGGTTTAATAGCCAGGCACGGTGACACGGTGCTGCTGTGCCCTGGGGGGCACAGTCTCCCCTCCACATCCCTGGTTCCCCCCCCCAAAACCAAGGCAATCCAAGTTTTAATTCACTTGGTGCGGCGCGATGCTGCCTCTCCCATTAACGTTTAATTTCCGTGGGCATCCACCGAAAGCAGCCGCTGCTCTGCGGGGTGCCCGCAGCCTTGGGAGGATGCTCGGGGATTTACACCCCGCCAGGACAGCTGATGGAAGGATCAAGAGCGGCACGGGCGGGAAGGATGTGGCCCTGCAGGAGGATCCAGCGGGCGCAGGGGAAGGAGCAGTGCTTGTTTTTATGGGCCTGCCTCCCTTTCAGCCAACGTGTGTCTCCCAGCAAGCCTGTTAATGGGTTTCCGTGTCACGGCGGACACGCAGAGGTGTGTGGGGTCAGCGTGGCCCCGCGTGGCTCCCGGGGACGAGGCTGCTCCTGGATACGCGGCCGCAGCGCGAGGGCACGCGGCTGCCCCGGGGGCTGCGCTCACGGGGGGCGCAGGGCTTCACCCCAGCTTCATCCTGCCTGGGCTGTAAATATCCCTGCCCGAGCCTGCTTAAAGGCTTTTGTCTGTGCTTAATGACGTGGCTGCAAATTCACCCTTGAGGAGGTAGGAGCTGTAAATAATGTGATTTTATTTTATTTTTTTTTTTATAGAAAAAGCCCTTTGAATGGGATGCTGTTAACCCCCAGCTTTGCTGTTCCTGCAAGGTGCTGCGAGCCCTCAGCTGGCACAGGCAGGGCAGGGGGGGTGCAGGGTGTCACGGGCAGCCCAGCACCCTCAGGATGGTGCCCAGGGCTGGTGCACACGCCTCTGTGCACCCAAAAACAGGACGGGATGGGCTCTGTGCCCCCTGCTTGCCACCTGCACGGTGACATTTGAGCTACACCCCTTTGGTGAAAAGCACCCCAGTGGCACCTGGGGCAGACTGGGGGCACTGGTGGGGTGCACTGGGCTGGGAGGAGGCATGGAGCTGGGCTCTGTGAGGAGCTGGGAGCACGCAGGGAGCTGGGGGATGCGCTCAGCCCTCCACGGGCTGTGCTGCGGGTTCCTCTGTATCTTCAGTGTCCATCTGCACGGCTCCCCGCTAGTCAAATAGCGACCGCTCGCTGCGAGTTTGTTTTTCAAATTGAAAAGATTCGGTAAAATAAGGGTTTTGCTGTTGTTCAAATACGCGCCTCCCCACAGAAACGGTGACATTTGCTCTCGGACCAGCCACAGGACCGCCTGTCTCCGCACAGGACGCCGCGGCTCCTTCCCGATGCTGCTCACATACAACCAGCACCAGGGTTTGGCATTTTGAAAATGTCCACCCGTGCTTTTAGGAGCGTGGAGCAAAGAAGTCCTCCAGGTTTTTGCCTGCAGAACCGCACACCTTTGAGGTACCCTCTCCGATGGGCTGCAGTCCTGGGGGAGGATTTGTTGTGAGGCTGCAGGATGGGGTTGTGGGGGGTTTTCCCAAGGCAGGTGTCATTACCCCTGCCTGGGGCAAAATCCTGAATAATAAAGAGTTGCTGAATTGTCTTTTCTCCTTCTTATTTTAATCTGTGAAAACGTTTGACGGTTTCAAGGCACCTTTCCCTGCCAGCGAGCTCTTTAAAAGGAACAGGAATGGGGCAACTGAGCTGCGTAATGCCAGGCGTAATCCAAAGCACCCAGATCAGAATATTGTGTGTGTGTGTTCGCTTCCATCTCCTCTGCCCAAGCGGCTCTAAACAGCCTCAGACCTTCGGGATAAAGCACGTGTGCCGTGCCTTTTCCACAGCCAGCCCTCCAAAAACACACGCAGCCCTTTAATAATGAAAAAAGCAGATGATGTATGAGACACTCGCAGGCTGTTAGCACTTCTATGTATCACTGCTCCGGAGTTTTGGAAAGCAAATTGCATTACCCTGCAAGAAGGGAAGTTTCCCTCCCAGCTCTGCGCTTTGGGCAGCTCATGGGGGGGCTGGGGGCAGGTGGAGTCGTGCTGGGGATGGCTGCAGCCCTGGTTTTGGGGGCGCTGATGGTTTCTGTTAGATGAGAGACGTGCTCCTGTGCTGGTGCTTGTGATGCTCTGCATGGCCAGACCCAAAGCAGCGCCCCGGCAAGGCCATACCCATGGGGCTGGGGGTGTCTGGGGGGGCTTTTCTCTCTATTACAGGGTGGTGTGGCCGTGTAGCACGGGGGGAGCTCAGAGCATCACGGAGAGACTGCCTGTGTGTGAACAAAATCCAGATTGAAGGAACAAGCTGAGGTCACCCCAGTGGTGAGGCTGCTGAGGCCAGTGGGGCTCTGTGCCCTGGGGCTGCACCCGTGGGCTTTCTGATGGCTGATTTGGGGCCACACATTGCCACCTTCCTGGCTTACTCAGGGCTCAAAACTTTGATGGAAATCTGCCCAGAGCAGCTACCAAGGATTACGGGCTTCAGGGGAGTTTTCCATATCCAGCACAGGGCAGGCTTGGATGCCATGTCACGCACCTATAACTTATACCCACTGCCCGTGTGTCTCTCAGCCTGCAAGCCTGAAAAATCCTGCTGCCGCCCTGCCAGCACCGTGATCCGAGCCTGCCTGCTTTGCTCTCACCTCCAAAAGATGATGGTTTGCTCCCTGTACCCAGAGCAGGACTCTGAGCTGAGGTGGTATTCGATTAAGAAGTGCGAAGTTTTCCACTCCAGCCCTTCTTTGCCATCTGGTATAGCACAGATTTTATTTTTTATTTTTTTTTTCCTCACTCTTTATTATTCTACTCGCTGTTTTCAGACCAGACCTGGACCGGTGGAGTGCTTGGTGTCAGCATCCAAGTGTGTGCTTTCATGCACGGCGTATGCAAATGCCAGGTAATTTGTTTTATAAAACTATTTTTATTGCAGCTCCCAGCTCCCCGGCTCCCAGCTGCCGTGAGAATCACTTGGATGTTAAAGTGCTGTTGACAAAATTGTTCCCAGTGGCACGTGGGCACAGATGCACGGCTCTCCCCCTGTCGAAACCTGGCGGATCAGGAGGGTGAAGGCAGGAATTGTGGCTTCGTTTGGAGCTGGAAAACCTTCACCAAGCATTTGCCTCCACCTAGGTCTGTGGTCCCAAATTCTCCAGGGCTTGGTGCGTGCGTGCCCTACCCACCCTAAAATCAGGGTCTAGCATGGGCTGGTCCTTCCCTTCCAGGGATGTCCCTCCTGCCAGCCCCCACGCGGCTCGGTTCGGCGGGGAGGGAAGGCGCTGCCAGCTGAGTTTGGGGAGGAGGAGTTAACAAGCAAGGAAAATAGGAGATAAATAGCAAAAGAATGCTTCAGCCCATTCATCCCGGAGCCTTACTAAATGTACCATGAATGATTCCTTGCAAAATTGAGATGTATGTACACTTGCTTGATGGCACTGCAGTGAATTGCTTCTTCAGTAAATCTGTCATGTATGCGCAGACTTTATGGCTTTTTTTTTTAATGTAAGAACTGTGCATCTCTTCAGGTTGAATATCTCTCGCCGTGAGCAAGATTAGATTCCAGCGCATCATCCCGAATCCCTGGTATTCGTGCTGGGGGCTAGGGCAGAGGGGCCTGCATTCCTGGGGCATCTCTGCGCTTGCCT